TCTCTGGATCAATATAAAGAAAAAACTGCAGGTATTAAATGAATATTCTATGTCTACACTGAATGCTGTAATTACTCTCTTGGGTGACGTGTTCACATCATCCTTGTAAGAACTGATCAGTGCCTTGAATTCTTAGCTACACTCAAAATAAACGAAGCACATTTAAGGTGGTATTTTTTTGTGAACATAATACATTTTTGAGAACAGTCAACGCTAAATTGCTATTTGTTGAGTGTGCACTCAGCACAGTAAGATGCAGCACTTAGTCCTGGTCACACAAAACCACGATAACCTCAGGGCCTCCAGGAAGAACAGAACTTGCATATTTTTGCATGCATGCAACTTGTGAACAGCACTACAGGAATTCATTACAAAAAACGACAAATTGACATTTTTTTTGACTTCCATGAAAATATCAGGATTTGTCAAAACATGCATTCAGACCATTTCTGAGACCTTATATTTTGATGCAAATTTGAAATTATACACATAACTAATTAATTTCTCTGTTCCTGTTCAGTATCTAAGCCCGCTCAGGTCTGTGTTCACCAATGCTGCTGCAGCTATCCAGTGCAGATGTTGGTCAAGGATTTTGCTGCTAGACTGCAAACTGTAAATTCTGACAAAACATGCATATTTACCTACAAGGACACACCAAAAACTTACTGCTAAACCAAAAAAAGCTATTTTTCTGAACCTGTTTTACAGTATATATAATTAAAGGTATGTGTTGATTTGTTACATTTTTTGGTAACACTTAATTTGAGGGGGCACAAATACTTCATAGTAACTCAATTACTAATAAAGCAAAAATCATGAATAAACATGGCAGCTACTTGGAATAAAAGATATGTCATGATTCATTAATGATGAACAAACATGAAATCAGTATCTCATTTGTGTTATTCACTACTTGTTTCTTCAATAACTTCAATACTTGTGTAATTCACAACAGTTTGCAGAATAGACAGATATAGTAACAAATATAGTAACTTTTTGGGATAAAAGATGCATCACAATTAATTAATGATGAATGAATTTGAGATCAGTATGCAAGTATGACTTAGTCTGTGGTTACTTAATACATAAGTAAGAGCTTAATACTATATTATTTGTGCGCTCTCAAGTAAAGCATTATCCATTTTTTGTAAATACAACCATTTTGACTAAATAAAGTTATGCGTTGTATCTCTTACAATGCAGAGTTACACTACAGATGACTAAATAGAGTATACCACAGTAATAAAACACACTTGTCCATTTACCTTACTGGAGCGAATGCAAAGAGACTGTGTACATGTAAATACTTCAGAGGCATTTGATTAAACAGGAACTCTGCAGTTTCATTGTGTGAGATGTCACACAGGATGTCATACCTGTAGTTATCAGCACAATAGCTCTGATAAAAGTGAGTGACAGATGTGTTGTCCAATAGTAGACTTTTTTTATTCTCCATTGTTTTTGCTCCTTCTTAAAATTTTCTTCAGTTGA